AAAGGTTATGGTTTATTATTGAGCAAAACATGAGTGGGCATGATCCAGAAACATAGATTTAGGTCTCCTCAAATACAATTTCCAGTGTAGAAACAACTTTATAAAGCTTTTATGGCACCATAACAAAGAAGTGATAAATCAAGGCATTAAAACCTAATTGGTAGGAACATCTGAGAGGCAGATTATGTAAGACTGGGAGAACCCCACTCTAGATTTTGAACATTATCTGACAATACTCTTAGGCCTTGGTGAAGGACAGAGTTCTGTCAATACATTCCAAAGGTTTTTAATCTTTTGTCACAATGTTAGATCGGACATAGAGCTGGGCAATGAATGGCTATTTAGTAGACTAAAGATCACCCAAGACAAATTGTGCTATGAAACCAACACGTTCCAATCTTGTCACATCATTGAAACTTTAGTCAATCAACCTATAGAAACATCTTCTTTCCAGTAATCCCCATCCACGACACAGAAATATATAGAGTCTCTGCCACCACTATAGCCAGCAGAGGAAAGATCAGTGGGAGGCAAGAAGGCAGTTCAGAAACATGAGTAAGTAGACAGTGTTGGTTAAAACTTCAGGAGTCTGACCTCAAGTAGTTTATTTTAGGCATACTTAAGCACAGCAGAATTTGTTGAAAACTTTCCTGGTGATAATTAACTCAACCCCATGTACACAATAAAAAACAAAATAAGCAAAATAGAGATCTAACATGACTACATTGAAACTCTTTATAAAGTACATGTGACACCTTCCATAGAGATGGGTTCTACAGACTGACAGGAAAAAAACATGCTTACAACAAGGGTCTGGGAGAGGATTCCATAAAGTCTATGACCATGCAGATAGCACAAAGATCACCAGGCTATTACCTGTGTCTGTTGTCTGCCTTCTGGATGGATGACAGGTTTTATAACCCTTCATTTGAAGGAATATCCTCGTGTGTTTAACATTCAAGGATAAGCATCCTTGTGCTTATCTGTGAACACAATGATTTCTGTGCCTCCTGCATCTCCCCATTTTCACTTTTTTAAAGAGAAAATTGTGGCTGTAACAGAGATCAAGTTTGAATGTATTGCCTGCATGGCTAGTCTAACATAAGCAAGCATGATAGAATTATAAGAACAACTAGCAGAGGACCAAGGACCCAGGAAAGGAAAAGTCATCTTAACCATGGTGCCCACTCAAAGGCCTCTTGGAGTATGCATTAGCAAAGTCCTTTATTATCACAGAAAAACAGTCGCAAACATGTGTAAAAGGAAGGCAAAACTGATTTTCTTTAAACTATTGACACAAGGTATATAGACCAACTCCAAATCAGAGAAGACTGGGGTTTCTTTTTTTTTAATTTATTTTATTGGATGTTTTATTTACATTTCATATGTTGTCCCCTTACCCCATCCCCCACCCACCCAGGAACCCCCAATCCCCTCACCCCTCCTCCTTCTTCTCTGTGGATGTAACCTCTATCTACTCCCCCACTCCCACCTCCTCACCCTCAAAATTCCCACCCCCTGGGGCGTTCAGCCTTCATGAGGTCAAGGTTCTCTTCTTCCACCTATGCCCAGCAGGGCCCTCCACTCTTACATATTCAGCTAAAGCCCTGGATCCCTCCCTAAGTGCTCCCAGGCTGGTGGTTTAGACCCTGGGAGCTGTGGTTGGTTGGTATTGTTGCTCTCCTCATGGTGCCGCAAATCCTTTCAGCTCCTTCAGCCTTCACTCTAACTCCTCCATTGAGAACCCCATGATCAGTTCAATGGCTAGTTGTGAGCATCTGCCTCTGAATATGTCAGACTCTTGAAGGCCTCTGAGGAGACATCCATATCAGGCTCTTATCAGCATGCACTTCCTGACTTCCACATCAGCATCTACCTTTGGTGATTGCACATGGGATAGATACTCAGGTGGAGTGGTCTTCAGACGGCCCCTCCTTCAGTTTCTGTCCCTCACTTTAAGACTGGGGTTTCTAAATGACGAACAGAGGGTTATCAAAAGGTAGATACATTTGAATGAAAAGTCACAGAAGGCAGGAATTGTGGACAAGTCACAGGTTTGTGGCTTATACTTTCTGTAAAGTTTGTAAAGACTCCCATGGTTTGGCCCCACTTGAGATGCTGCCTCATCTAAGGAAGTCATCATGAAAGTTCCTCTGGAGCATGGAAGGCCCTAAATGCAAGTAATATGGGGATTTTGCCTGAGAGGTAGCCAGATTAGCTTAAAGGATTAATATAGATCAATGACTCCCCCAGTATTGTGGCTAAGCTTCATTAAATGAATCTTGGTCTTTCTGTGTCATATTGGGGAACTAGGTAGGAGAAAGAAAACAGCTGCTATATTAATTTACCAAACACATTTGTGTTCAAAATTACCTTTACAGAAAGCTGCCTAGAAATATTTGCAAGAGAGGAGGTATTTCCTAAAGCCTGTGAAATAATCTCAGAATAGTTGCCCACTGGAGCATTTTAGATTCCAGACAATTTTTAATTATTAAACATAATAAGATGACGTAAAATACACCACCTCACAATCCAATGACTTAAAACAATTAGTCTAGAGTTGTACACTATAGCTTCATTCTTCTGGAATCGGTAGCCAATCTCAGACTGGCAGGATCTCTGCAGTTCTTCATGCTGGCTTCTTGGCTTGGGGTCAGCTGTCTGACTTGTCTATGATAACTTAGCTGAGTAACTGGCTCTCTCCCATGTGTTCACAGATACACATCTCTTATCCATTAATTAGGTTAGCAAGAATATATTCTCAACCAGGAGAAAAGCTACAGATATGAGAGATTCATGGATTTTCTCCAGACCCTTGTTCTCTCTGTGTCTCCTAGCATTCTATTTGCCACAGTTAGAATAAGGATCAAGTGAACCTCAGGTACGGATGTTAGAAGAACTGAAAAGACATAGATCAAGGCCAAAGAAAAGCTGGGAAGGAAGGGCTACACTCGGCTTATAGATAGTCTGCCAGATGTCTATTCCTAGCTTTCCTAGTTATTAAAGCATTCGACAAAAAAGACTCCGTGCATTAACTTACCTCCTTAAAACTAGAATGATTTTGATTAAATTAGCTTTTTCACACATACAGTAAAATCCTTCACTGTCAGTGACAAATGGTATCACTTAATGAAGTGTTTATTACTGTTGTTGTTGTTGTTGTTACAGAAAGACAGGTTTTATCTAAACTACTGCCACTAAGTTCATGAACTCAACTCAACTCCAACCCAAAAGAGACTGAAAGTTTCAAATGGAGACATTCCCTGGAGTCTGAGGCACCTCTAGAACACTGAACAAGTCTAAAGGCAGTTCAGTTTAAATCCGTATCTACCTGCCCCGTTGAAATAACAGTTAGTTACTCTAGCAATATTTAGGAGGGTTTCCTGGGACGCTTTTACACACAACACTGCAGGTTGATAGATATCTTCCTCATATGACTTCACAGCCAACCTGAACCTTCAATGTTTCTTCCAATTTGAAAGGACAAAGAATTCACTAACAAGCAAGGTAACATTCGGGAATCCATCATGGTCTTCCTTACACGCGGCTCTGGCTGCGGAAACGCCTCACTGACCGCTATTGGCGGGTTCAGGAGGTGCTGAAACATACTCGGCATTTCAGGGGAAGGAAGAATCTCTCTGCTAGGCTACCGGCTGGCAGTCAGGGCGGTGACCAGAGCCTTCGTTAAGTGTACGAAGTCCCGCAGACTTAAGAAGCGGAACCTGAGGACCCTCTGGATTAATCAAATTACAGCTGCCTCCCAGGAACATGGCTTGCAATACCCAGCATTTATTGTCAACTTAATTAAGTGCCAGGTGGGGCTCAACAGGAAAGTACTTGTGGACCTGGCCATCTATGAACCCCAGACATTTAAATCTTCGGCTGCTTTGGCTAAGAGGAGGCAGCAGGAAAGATTTGCTGCAGCTTTGGGGGATGGAAAGGAGCCTGAGGTATCTTTTCCAGAGTGGTACAGTACCACTGAAGGCTGAAGTGCTATAGAAACTGTTGTAAACAAGATAGGACCAAAAGGATTGTCACCAGTAAGACTGATTTGTATTTATTTACATTTTAGTAACAGGATTCAGATGACAGGTTTTTACTCAGTGACACAGCCCCAGACTGTCCTATAAAGATTGTACAAATAAAGCCTTTGCCATGTTAAAAAAAAAAAAAAAGCAAGGTAACTGTGACGTGTAAGGCTCCTTTTTCCTGTGAAGCTCTGTGAAGAGAGATAGCTGTCTGACACAGTGCTAATAACACAGTCCTGGCTTTGGTCACTGTTGAGGTCCAGGAGCTGCCCCACAAACCACATGAACACTGATCTCAGTCAGACAGGGATAGTTCATTGAACATATACCCTAAGAATGATCGATTAGGGTCATAGCTCATCATTCAGGGGCTGAGTCTAAAGTGAACATCTGTCTCTGTCGTCCTACAAAGGCTAAAACTGCAAAATCCACAGTGAGCTCATAAGCACGTGCAGGAAATGTTGCCCAATGGTCAGCTCTGACTCAAGCTATTTGAGACCTAACAGTTCATACTGACCTTTAATTTGATGAGTCCTGTGTAAAGCTTTGTGGAATTGCTTAAGATTAACAAACCTCATGCAGAACATAACAGGATATGTGATCAGTCTGACCCTGCTCTGAGTCAAGTTATTTTTCTGTGTCAGTGACTGCCAGGCATAATACCGCAACAACATGAAATAGCTGGCAGGCATGGAACAAAATGACTACAGTTATGCTGGGGGCGGGGCAGGCCTCAACAATCACACCTGTGGAGTATGGAGGCAGGACTAGCTCCAGGCCATGTAGCTTTAAAACTAGTGCTTGTTCTCAAACCCTGTATTTATTTATAATCAGAATCTGCCTTGTGGTGGCCACAATTTGGAGCAAATGTGCTCATTTGGCTATTTCCATGATCTATTCATTCCCAAGTCTTAAAGAAAAAAAATCATCCTAAATTGAAAAAATAGAAGACATAATATATACCAAAACAATCCTGCCTCTAGAAGCATTGCATGTGTGGCTGCTATGTCACATGTGCATCAGTAGGTGGCAGAGAGGAGAGAGGCTCTGCCTATGCTCTATGTTCAGACCTGTAAATATCTGAATGATTTGTAGCCTAACATTCCCTGAAAAAGGCGAGCCCAGAATAACCATCAATCCAGTGCCAGGGGGCCTGGACCAGGAGCTAGCCCGAGACAACTACTAGTACAGCTCTGTGCAAGCCTCAACCAGCTTCCAGGGTGGGGAGCAAGCAGGAGACAAGATGAACTCCTCATGGGGTGTTCACCTGAGATGATCACTAGTCTGGTGCCATGGGGCCCAGACAGGAAGCTAGTCTGAGATGACCACCAGACTGGTGCTACGCAGGCATAGATATGGGGGCAGACCATGCCTGAGCTGACTCCTGCCCTGAGCCTTAATTCACAGGCAGGGCATAGACTACTCCTGACACTCAGAGACCACCGCCCCTCAGCCCCCACCACCCCCAGGGGGGGTGTGGCAAGTGAGGGGTGGAGAAATAAAAAAGAAACAGAAGGATGTGGGCGCAATGAGGAGAGGCACAACTGGAGTCTTGAGGGAAGTGAGGAATAGCCTGATGTATCAATGCCACCTGCGACCATGATGGGTTCCTGGTCTGTGCTGCCACCTAGGGACGACTGTGTCCATGGCCCTGCAGCAGCAGCAGGGATTTAGTACCACCAAAGGCCATGTGGGTATCCCTGGTCTGGGCTGCTGCCCAGGGACATGTTGGCATCTGAGGGCTATGCAGAACTGGCCCCACCCCTCACCAGGGCATCATGGGAGAACTGGCCCTGGGATTCTGAGAGCAGGAGCTGACCCTCCCCCTAGCCAGCTGCAGTACCTGGAGAGTGGGCCCTGCCACTCATCCCCCATGCAGTGGCATGGAGGCATGGACGAGAGAGAGAGATACTCTCCTCCACACTCAGTATCCTTAGACATCTATAGCGAGCAGGAGTGTTGTCATCAAAGTGAGAGAGCTGTTCCTGCCCCTCACCTGGAAAGCACAGTAGAGCTGATCCTGGTGGTACGGGCACAGGAGAGCCAGCCCTGAGGTGTGAGCATAGGAGAGCTGGCCCTTCAACTTGTCCGTTGTGTGATGCCAGGAATGAGGAGAGATGTTCTTTTCCCCTCCCTTCGAGACCAGGCCCAGGCACTTACTTGCAGCACTTGGGAGAGCAGACCTGCACCTCATCTGGGCAGCACAGTAGGGCTGTGAGTGCGGATGAGCCACCCCAGTGTGCATGAGAGCTGGAGAGCTGGCTCCGCCCCTTGCTGGCTGCAGCATGATTGGATGGGCTAGCTGGGGCAGAGCAGGAGGGCTGCCCTGGTGGTGTGGATGTGGGAGAGCTAGCAGATGACCAGCTCAGACACCTCTCAGGCCCAGATCTAGGGATCTGAATTGGCCCACCCCAACATCTACCCAATCCATGAACTGCTGGAGTGTGTGAAGGGGTTGATCCTACAGATCCAGAACTGCAGGATTTCTGTGACACAGAGCAACAACAGGATATCCCATAGGAGTCCCAGTGAGGATCCAGTATTGAAAGAGTAGCAGAAGCCAGAAGCCTGGAATCAGATCAACCACTCATTGCAATGAGCATTTGTGAGCAAAGTGTGGATGAAGGGTAAACTGTGGAATACTGAAGCTTCTCCAACAAGAGGTTTTTTTTTTTCTCTGTTGTGGGGAGGGTGGAGGCAGGTTAGAGGGGAGGAAAAGATGAGGGGGATCGGGATCCATGATGAAAAATTAACAAAGAACCAATAAAAAGTTTTAAGGAACAAAAGTTTCAGTAAACTTTTAAAATATAAAGTAAATTATCAAGTTTTTCAAATATCTTAGAAAATAACTTGTTAAAAGTGAAGTATTACTTGGCTTTTGTTCAATTACTAACTTGCTTATAAAATTAGTTTTTGGAATTTACTAATCTTTGATTCAGAGAGAGACCTATGCCACTCAAGGGCAAGACAACTGGACTCTATGTGTGCCCATCAGGGGACATGTGCCAAGGTTCATTCTTCTTCCAACATTCTTTCTCCTTCATCTACTGACATAGTCACGGACAAACAATCAGGTCCCAGAAATGGACCAGTAACGACATGTTCCCTGAGAACAAGTCTAGGTGATGTGTAAGCAGCCAAATGCTTGTATAAATTTATGTTTACTGAAGATTAGCATGACTGAAATTTGCCACCAATGTTTTCTTTTCCTCAGGTGAAAATGTCACCACCTGAAGTGCTCTATGTAACACAGAGCTCGCAGAGTTTCTCTTAGAGACAGATCACGTTGCTCTGACGGCTTCTTTTAAGATTGGGAAAAGTCTATGAGGACCAAGCATTTTGCTTCAGTGCCCATCTGTGGCTAGGAGATACCTGCAGACTGCAGAGCGGGGGAAACAGATGCTGGCCCCCTCCCAGCTCCTACCTGGTGAGGTCAGAACTCGGGTGCTGACTCAGCACGCTCTGCTCCAGTCAGTCTTTCTCCCCTTTGTTCTTGTTTTCTGATGAATTTCAGAGTTGCCTTAGAGTGACCCTAAGGAAATAAAACAAATCCAGAAACTAGTGAGAGTTCAAAGAAAGGCAACCGAGATGACTCAAATCGATGTGTAAGTAGCAAAAGAAAACACTGAAGGGAGCTACTAAAAGAAAATTTCTCATAATATAGCAAGTTTTTGTAGAGGGGATAAATGACACATCCTCCCATATGATTATGAAAATCAGTAGGAGGAAATTAGGTTTAAATCAAAACATAAGTATGTTGATCTTCCAGTATCTAAGATGAATTATCTCTTTCTCAAAGAGGAAATAACATATAGAAAATACAAC